TTAGGGGTATGAGGACAGGCAATTCATGGAAGTGTTATAGGAAAAAAACATAACATACAATTGATTGATCAAGGCATCGCAAAGAGAAAGGGAACACTGAAATTCGTCAAGCGGAAGCAGATATATAGTACCAGTTTACTGCTGAAGCTGAGGCGGCGGAGGCGGCGGAGGCGGCGGGGCGGCTTCGGCGGGGCGAGCGTGCGGGCCGCACGGGTGGGAAGGCGGCGTGGAGGTGTCGAGGCTCGCGCTCCCGCTGCTGACCGACGCGGTGCAGGCGTCGCTGCGCGAGTGGTCGGCGGCCGCGCCTCCGCCGGCGCCGTCGAGCGAGGTGTCGGCCCGCGCGTCGCAGCTCTCTGCGATGCTCACGCGGCTGACCGACTTGCGGCTGCCGGTGGGGACGGCCCACCCGCCAGCCGCCGGCCAGGCCGCCGTGTCGCCGTCTGCGGCGCGGCGCCGCTCCGAGTGCGCTCACTTGGTGCCCCGCGCAGCGCCGGAGATGCGGTGTGGGTCGGGTCGGGGGTCGCCTCACGGGTGCGTGGCTATGAGCAGGTTGCGCTCGCCCCGGACCTGATCAACGCCATCGGCAGGCCGACGAGCGAGGACGGCGGCGCACTCGCGGGGCGCGAGGTGCAGCGGCTGCAGGAGGCGATCCGCGAGGCGCTGCAGCTGGTCTTTGCATCCCTGCCAAAGCCGTGAGGCGCCTCTCTAGCGGCGCGGGCGGCGGGAGGCACGACCGCTCCCACGTCCCACCGACGGCGCCGGTCGCGCGGCTCAGGGTGGGAGAAGGGATGGACGAGGGCGACCGAAGAACCTCTCGATGGTCGATCTTCGTCGAAGCTTGTTACATTGGGGGGAGTTCGCGCGCCCGATCGCAAAAGAGGCCTGTTCTCGCGCGCCCGTCGGCGGTAGCGGCGGATATCGCACGCAGTGCAGGACTGATTCGTGATTGTTGGTATAAACTACGACGAGGCACAGCGCGCACCCCGCCCCGCGATGTCAGAAAAGCATAAAGCTCACCTCGTCGCTCCACCCTCCTTCCAGTTCCACTTCTCCCTCGGCCACCCTCCGACCACCACCGGCGTCGAAAAACAGCGGCCTCTCGCCGCACCCCGCTGGAGAGTCCCCATCCTATACAGGTGCAGCGCCGCGCTGAACAGATCAGTCTCGGGTCTGCCGCGGTGCGCCAGTGTGGGCCCGGGCGGGCAGCTTTTGCGAGCCCCGTCGTGTGGGGTACACGGGAGGAAAATTAATTCGTTCTCGGGTCCGTTGCGCGTTGGCCTCTTTTGTAGAGAAGAATTTTGATAAGTACCCGTCAAGACGCGCCTGCTGGGGGGCAGCTTCGTAACGAAGCCGTCTGCTCCCCACTTGTCAACACGACTCACGAGCAGGCGCTGGCGCCATCAACGTTCCTTTAATTCGTTCTCGAACACGTCAGCTCTACCCCTCTTCAAGCATACGGCTCTACCAGGTACAAACCGTACACCCCAAGACACACCAACCGTACAGAAGGCTGCGCACATCGCGCGTAGCCGTAGGTATCCACATTCCTAAAAGGGAGAAAACGAATTCCCGCACGCTCTCACTCATGAACTCGAGCTTTCACCGACGAAGCTGCACGACGCGCTCCTCGACGGTGCCGGGCGTGTACAGGTGCACAATCTTCGCGACGCGGGTCTGCCCTGGGCGGTGCACACGTCCCTCAAAAGGTCTCGACGATGAAGCGCTGGCCATTGGCTACAAGCTGCCTGTGAAGTGGCTCCGCGACGCCCACCAAGAGGCGGCGTAGCTCGGACGCGGCCATCAGCCCAAAAGAAGAAAAGCCCCGCGCACTCAGAAGCACCTCAGGGTTCCATTTCCGCACAGTTTTTCGGCCGCGGATTCGGGCATGGGGTGTGGAGGAAGTGAGCTTTATGCGGGCAGGTCTGTGTTGCGGTGAGAGGTTGACAGCGGCAGGTCTGTGTTGCCCGAGAGCGGTGCGATAGCAGACAGCCGGCCAATGCGGTTGCAAGACCTGCCTGACGCGCTGTTCGAGCACATCCTGTCCTTTCTACCTCGCGGAGTGACTGCCTACGCTGCTTGCGCCGTGGACTGCCGCTGGGCGCGCACTTGCGACGACGCCTTGCGCTTGTTGTGCGAAAAGCACGCGTGGAAGCAGCCGCGCAGCCGCCGCCTCGCCGCCGCCTCGGCCACCGGCGGCGGAGATGCGCTGCGCTGGCGCGCGCTCTACGTCTCCCGCGCGTGCCCTGCATGCCTCGACGCGCCTGGCGACTTTGCGGCACGGCGTTCAAAGCACGAGGCGCCGCTCTACCTCCTATGCGGCGCGTGCTGCAGGCGCGAGTCAGTCATCGATAAAATGCGGGCGGCGGGCGCCACGCTCGACGTGACGGGTGTGTCTGGCAAACCGCTCTACACGCAGCGGGGCGACCGATTTGTGTCGGAGGTGGCTGCCGCCGCCCGGAGAGCAGGCCTGGGGTGAAGGAGCGCTGCCTCTGCTCGGCACGTGTGTGTGCAAAGTGTTTTGTGTGTGAGGCGGTCAGACGGGCGTGGCAGCTTGTGTACAAGGTCTGTAGTACACGCCGTACGAAAAAGGCCGCGCCGCGACCCGCGCGTGTGGACACACAGAGACTGTTTTTTCACAGAGACACGGCCCCCTATTCTCGGGGTCGGGCGCGTTGGCCTCTTTTGTAGGGAAGAATTTTGATACCCGTCAAGACGCCTGCTGGGGGCAGCTTCGTAACGAAGCCGTCTGCTCCCCCAGCAGGCACACACTAGACAGATAGGAGGAGAAAGGGGACGGTGGTGGGTTTAGGGTTGCCTAACGTTAATTTGGGGCCTAACAGTTGCGCTATTGTTGGCTGAAATCCTCAACGTTGTTCAAGTGTTCTCCCCAGCCCAAGCTGTTACTGTTTGTTACTGTTGTTACTGTTGTTCAGCGGCCAGCAAGCAGAAAATGGCAAAAAACCCGGGTAAAACCCGAAAATACCTGGGATTTTCCGGGTATTTTCGGGTATTACCCGCACTGGACACTAGAGATCGTCGTGGGCCACTGCCAGGCCTTCCTTATTGTTGTTCAGCCGGCCTAACGTTAGCTACTGTTGTTGGGGGTCCCCACTGTTGTTCTGTTGTTACTGTTAACACTAGCAACACTGTT